CATTTTTACAAAAGCATTGAAGTTAAAAAGTTTTATCAAATTGAAGGAGAAACTTGGAGTTGCACAAGTCTAGCTTAAGGGGGGATATTGGAAAATTAATTTAGACTTGTCTAGATTCATCTAAGAAGACCAAGTGATACTGGGGAAGGTGCAAAGAATCTCATAATAATTGCTAGTACATGAAACATTTTGGTGTATATGAAATATTTAGGTTCAATGTGTGGTTCATTGCATGTATTAAATTCATGTATTAGAAGTATCTATTGAGTAGTATAAATATGTGAGTCATGTAAGTGTATTTTAACACACAAACAATTGAGCAATACAAGATAAAAAAATTCAGCTTTATAGAAGTGAGTGTTTCTGAATTGTGTGTTTACTAATTCAGTTGAATATATTTGAGTGTATCCCATTTGTGTTCATTTGCCGACCAACTCCAACAAGAACAATAAAATTATTATACAGTTATTAATTGGCCATTGTTGAGCAGATGAGCATTGAATTCTAAAGTTCAGAAAAATAATTTAATGCTTCGTCGAAGGAAAAAAATAAATAGAAGAAAGAGAAGAATGAATGAATGAGATTGTGTGCTTCTCTTTTTTTGTTCGATAGAATAGAAGAGAATAAAAGAAGATGACAACTTACCGTGTGAGTTAGGAGAGAAGGGAATGGAGATATTTAAATTATTTTTACCAAAATACCCATTATTATCTACCATATTGTAATTTATAAATGATAATTTTGTAACTTAAAACTTTTATAATAACCCTATTAGTCTTGACTCTTCTCTTTTGTCCATATTTAAAGGAAAGAAATTTTTTGAAGGGGGAAGGATGATTCATTCATCCTATTCCTTCCTCTCCGAAAGAAGTTTGTTTTTCCTAACTTCTCAGCACCCCTCTTACTTCCTTCTTACCTGACAAAACATAATAAATACAAACTAAGATTAATTTAAGACAAAATAGCTAAATGATGCATTCTTGAAATTTAATATATTAATTAGCTAAGGTCTATTAGGTTTGTCACTGGAAAAACAATTCTAAAAAATTCAGAAAAAAAATTGTTTTAAGATAATTATAAAGGAATGTTCTCTAAAAATAAACGTATTTTTTAAACTTAACCAAACACAAATTTTATGTTATTTTCTAATTTTTAATTCTTTGTAAATAAAAAACTATTTTCTGAACGACAAACCAATTAAGCAAAACCTTTAATTTCTCAAACTTTCCTTTATTCTCTCGAGATTCTTTATTTATTATAGGGTAAATTGCAGTGGTACCCCCTCAAGTTTGGATTAAAGGCAACCATCTACAACTTATGCACTTTTTGGACAATGACACCTCATTTTATAAATGACATCCAAACACAGCCTTAAGTGACATGAAATATCTAATTTGCCCCTGAATAAAATATTATATTTTAATTCAAAATTATCAACTTATTTAAATGACAAAGGTTAGAAAGAGAAATGAAAATGACATTCTATGTGGTGGTGGATCACCGGATAGGATGGCGGTTGAGGGTGGTGGAGGTGGACTGCCGAAGAGGATGGTAGTGGTGGCCCGCGCCAAAATAATTTCCTTTTTGCAAATCACTATCTAAACCATTTTTTGTCGCGGGGGGTGGGCGGAGTATATGTATACATGTATGCGTGGGTAAGTTGTTGAGATTATTTATTTATTTATTTTAAAATTATTTACAAAGGTTAAAATGGTCATTTTAGGATACTTTTAGACGCATTGGGGTGTGATTGTTCAAATTTACAAATTTGAAATAATTAAATCACACTCATCTTAAGTCATCTTAGCTCAAAACATGAGAAAATGTCATTGTAATTCACCCTTTAGTATATGTATACATGTATGCGTGGGTAAGTTGTTGAGATTATTTATTTATTTATTTTAAAATTATTTACAAAGGTTAAAATGGTCATTTTAGGATACTTTTAGACGCATTGGGGTGTGATTGTTCAAATTTACAAATTTGAAATAATTAAATCACACTCATCTTAAGTCATCTTAGCTCAAAACATGAGAAAATGTCATTGTAATTCACCCTTTATTATATCAATATCATTCTTTTCCATAAAGCCTCGGGTGTTGTTTGATTACCCTGAAATTGAAACAACGAAAAATAAGGTCGGTTCAATGAATAAAATATATGTGACGGTGGGAGAGCCCCACGGCCTACCCTTTGAGTATCTTTTTATTCTATCACTTTCATATCTCTTTTTTTTCCCCTTCTCTCTCTCTCTCTCTCTCTCTCTCTGCGTGTTTAAAGTATTTTTATAATTAATTATATAATTTATATATATAATATGAATATCAAATTGTGCCATTTCCAAACGAGCCCTATCACATATTATATAGTTCATTAATCCGGGAGCAGAGCTAGGGTTTCAAAAGGTGACACAAAGCAACAAATAAAAGAAGAAGAATTATTATTTTAAGAAATAAAAGAAAAAGGAAATAAAGAAAAATGACATTAGAGATAAAAGAAAAATGACATCATTTTGAGAGGGAAATTTTACTATTTTAAAAAGGAAATTAAAGGAGTTTAAAGAGAGAGAAAAAAAAAAAAATTATGAGATAATTTTTTAATATACACACCTCTGCGTATATCACATCCAAGTCCAACCCATTATTTATCTCCTTATATTTGAATTGATTTATTACTTTGTTATCATAAAGAAAGATTATTGATCAGAATTAATCCTTTCTACTATTATAAGTGAAATAAAACAACTTTTACATCATCATACTATTTCATTATCATTTCATATATATATATATATATAAAATTTTGTTCTTTTGAGAGGGAGGTGTTCCTTTCACCACTAATCATGAAAAATTTGACACCAGAGGGCCCAATATCTGTCAACCTCTCACATGCAATGCCAATGAAAAATCGAAAAGCGCGATCTTCCCACAACAATAAAACCGCGTTTGTGCACGAACATAAAAAGAAATAATAAAAATAAATAAATCTTGCAATCTCTTTTTTAATCAATTTTTTATTCTATTTAATAGCGACATATCACATAATTTTTACTTAATATTAAAACCATGACATAGAATTATATTCGCAAGTTAGCTAGTCATGTCTAACTGTTTAAGATTCTAGGCAATTATTTAAAGTTCAATCCAGTTGGATGTTTATGTATGCGTAAAAGGATTGCATTATTGCATGTCTAAGCCATTGAACAAAAAAATAAAAATAAAACTTTGTCATAATTATAAAATTTAAAATAATTGTGAGCCAGATCTAGTGTGGATTGCACATGGACGGTAGTTGGAGTTGGCGGCTCTCTTAGGTTTCCCTCATCTGGGATCCCTGAAAAAGAGGATCAAATTGGCCCCCGCGAACAACTTGATGTACTATTCTAAGTTATACAATCTTTCTCATCAGGTGTCGCTCTGATGCTCTCATGTTTCGCGCGTATTTTTGCCACCGTTTCTATTATTTATGACTTTATTTTGCCTCTTTCGCGCTCCTGCTCTTGAATTTCCTCTTATTCCCGTTCTCATTTTATGTAACTTAGGTATTATCTCCCTTCAACTCTTTGAACGAAATGCAGCAAAAGAAAGAAAAATTCATGGACCAACCTCATCATCTTCACCCCGTGAGAACTACGGGGTCACTCCAAGGCGTCTAATGTAATACAACAACCATAGTGTAGTACTTTCAAATTTCTTTAACATTAAAATTCGGTGATTGTACTACAAAGATTTGTGCGGGAAAATGCTTCGTCACGGTGTCATCATGGTAAGGGAATGTGGGACTCACACGCAAAGATTTGGATGGGCATTGGTCCCCAAACAATGAGTTCGGAATTGGTCAAATGGAAGCCGTTATCTTTCCCTCCAAGGGGTAATTTCAAGTCCTAAAGTGCTGCACAAATTTCCATTTTTGGGCCCTTTCCCTTACTAGTGTGTGTTTGAGAGAGAGAGATGAACTGTGTGTATATATATATATATATATATATAATTCAACAGATAAAAGAATTTGAACCTTCACCTATTTTTGTTATCACCAAGTTGAGAGTCGCGATAAACACAACAATATATCAAACACCGCAAGTACTAAAACATAAGTGAGAGTCCATGTAATAATGTCGAAAGTCAAGTTTATCCGGATATCAAATATTATAAGTACAAAAACATGAATTAGAATCTACAAAATAATATCAAAAGTCGAGTTTATTCGAGACTTTTGTGCGGATGAGATTGTATATGTGAACTTTATGGCTAAATGTGGAGCTCATGAGTTACCTGTGGCATTTTCCTGGGAAACAAACGACAAAACAAAATATGGTATTAATTGGAGTATATTGATTATCAAATCCATCTCCCTTCCTTTTAGTCAAAAAGAAAAACTAAGCGTGTACTCTCAAAGGGAAAAAAGTTGCCACAATCAAATGGCTTTAATCATTTCATTTCATAATACTCATCTTTTTTTCCATATAATCTGACTAACCAATATGTAGACCATTATTCATTTCAATATCACACTTGTATGAACACAACAACTTATAATCTGCCTCAATGAACCATCAATCCCCAATTTTAATATCATCCCCAAATTGTCATATTCAAGTATGCGCAAGTGCAAGCGTAAGTGTATATATTTGATGGTTTTTTTTTTTTTTTTTGTTCGATTTTAATAAATAGTGTCCAACAAGAATATTTAGTCCGTAACAGATGAGACAGATTTCACTCCTCTTACAAAAATCACATTCCAACTTGCTTCACAGTATGGTTCTTGTGCACGTAAATTCTAAAAGCATAAAGATATGCACCAAACATGTAGTATTGCCCTTTTTATGATTTTGGCCTTTTCTGTATTTGTCCAACCCAAATGTCCCATCACCCATGAAAAAAACCTAAAGATAAAGGGAGAGAACCAAGTAGTTAAATCTCATAAGAAGTGAGAGAGATGCACACATAGAAATCTCCCTCCCTTTCTCTCTCTCTCTCTCTCTCTCTCTTCCCTCCCTCCCTCCCTCTCTCTTTCTCTTCCCTCCCTCTCTTTCCTCTGATCTTAGTTACCAGTAGGACAAAATGGAGGTCCAATGTAGTCCTCTTAGCTGGGCTTGCTACTGTCAAGAAGAGGTAACTTCTCCTACTTGGCATTTTTTTTTTCCTCTCTTTGTTGTATTTGAGGCTAATTTTGGAGCAATAATGAGCATTGTTTTTTTTAAAAAAAATTTGACAGGGAATTGAGGAATTGAGACATTCACTTTTGTACACAAGTTTAGAGCTAGAGACAACAATTGTATCTGCTCATGAGGAAATTGCAAGAAAAGAAGATGAATTGATTCATCTCAAAGCTCTCTTGACAAAGGCCTCTAGAGAGAGAGATGCAGCACAGTCAAAATGCCAAAGGCTAATGTTGGAGAATTTGTTACTTCAACAACAACAGCAGCAGCAGCAACAACGGAAAGCCGCCCCTTTTTCCGGGACTACTAGCAGTGAAGATGAACCAAGAGGCGACTACAACGTCGGATTCTCCTCCTCGGATTGCAACAAAAACAATGTTGCATTGCCCGTTCTGAACCCAATGCATGAAGCTCCCGCTGTTGCGGAGTTTGATCAAAAGGGTCAGATATACGCAGCTCTACCACCGTCATATCCAATACATGAAGCTCCCGCTATTACGGAATTTGAGAAGAGTCAGATATATGCAGCTATACCACCATCACAAGTATTTCTTGAAAAATTGGTGCCCAAAAGGCCATTGCCTGAAAAGGGGAAGTTCTTGAAGGCAGTGATGGAAGCCGGGCCGCTACTTCAAACCCTCCTACTGGCCGGACCGCTTCCTCAGTGGCATCACCCACCTCCCCAAGTTGACTCCATTGACATCCCACCGGTGACTGTGAATTCTCCGGTGGCTCGGCTTCAACACCAGGATTCTTGTGCCAGTACTAGTGCTGGTTTCAGCAAGAAGAGGGGTCTGGTGCACTGTGAAGACATTGATTCTTCACCCAACACCAAGTATCAAAAAGTTGCTCACCAATCACCATTGACCAATACCTAGTGCTCCACATAATTTGCTACCAATATCAATCCTTTTCATACTGTCAAACATGAGAAGGCAATCATCAAGAAATGGATGGCTTGTAGTCTCTCTCAGAAATTAAGCTTCCTAACCACTAAATTAAGGGCTAAAGAGCATTCAAAAGCCCTTCTTAGATTTTTTTTTTTTTTCAATTTTGTTTATGTTGGATTAAGACTTGATCTTTCTGTGTCTTTGGTACAACTATAATTTTGATGTAAATGTGATGGAGCTTGGAAATCCAAAAATAGTGTGGAATTTAATATGAGTATGTTATCTTTGATTTAATATTAATATAATGTAAGTGTATCTTGGTAGATTCTGGTGGTCTTAGCCTATATATGATTATAATTAAGAAGATGGTTTATTATAATGTCCCTTTCATTTAATATTAAATGATGATGGAATGTATGAACTAATCAAGAAATCAAAAGATCTTGCTATGGGTCATCCTTTTCATGAAGCTGTACCTACCTTGCATAGTTGCATTGCATGGTCAATGTCTGCCATTAAAATGGCTTATGACTAGAACCATTTCACTGTCATGCAAAATTGCAATTGAACCAATGAGAAAATAAGGTTTCAAATATATATATTTATATAAAATCAGTATTCAACAAAAGAATCTACTCTGTTGTGGATAAGGTCCAGTTAGTTGAACTTGGTTTGAAATTCTAGCACCAAAACCTCAAATTTATGGTTCAATGGACACAACCCTTAGGTCACCGCCTAACTAAGCCAACCACTTGAAATAGACCCTTTATATAACATGAGTCTTTTGGTAAATTGGTAAGTCTTTTTGTTTTCCCAGATATATATATATATATATATATATATTTTCAATCAACTTGACAACTTAAATCCTTCAATTTCACCTTTGTGTAACAACAAAATATGATTTTGTTATTATAAATTATACTTATTAGGACCTGATCGGGAACAAAAATCACCTGGTCACCACAGGGTCAGTGGGAATAACCTCTAAGGACAGTTAAGAGATTCGAGCCTCATAATGAGATTTGTAAGTATGTGCGTTAATATTTACCTAAGAAAAAATATATACATATATTAAAAAAATCATTGAGTTATAGCGTTACGGTTAATATTAAGAATTGTTTTACGTAAATAGAAAAGATTTTGTACTAAGATTTTCATCATCCTTCTGAAATCTTTTGTGGTGCAATACAATGTTATACTGTGTTGAACACAACTTATCACACACGTAATCGCATTTAGCGGATCTCATCACTTACACGTATAACTATTTATATGTTTAACTGATGACATTTCGTCACATATAGCAGATGATGCTTTCTCAAAAAAATTATTATATGGTCCGATTACATATGTGACTATGTAGTTGACATGACCCATATAATTCCGAACCTGTTTAAAAAAAAAAAAAAAGAGGAAGGAAACCTCCAAATGTTGCTATTGTCAAACAATGTAGTTGCTTTCAAGTGGAGGTAACAGTGGTCCACTGTGCTGCCTTACATGGTCACACCCTCACAAATGTATGCCTGTGGCTGAATGAGTACAGATGAAGACAATCTTTAACAAGGTCTAAGATCATGTGGTAAATAATTTTATCAGTTTCGCATTATAGAGCATAAATTAAGCAGTGAATTAGGGGATCCTATGCACTTTGCTTTTTACATGTACATGACCAGTCGATCAATTGGCCTATTATAAAAATCCTTTAAGAATATTATTTGTCTGTTGACAAATTTTGTTCCGAAGTTATATTTGGGTGTTAGGATGTGAACAAAATGTTAAGTAAGTTTATGCCGGACATTTTGCCAAGATGGTTTTTGAAGTCAAGTTACGAAGACGGAAGCTAATCAGCTGTGTATAGAGATCAAAGGACATAATTGCCACTTCATATATTCCAGTTTAATAATTCATCATTTTTTTTTTTCTTCTTTGTCTCTAAATACTAGTTCGCGTTTAAAAAATCAAAGTGTCCATAAATATCAGTTAAGTTTTTAAAAATATTCCAACTTCATTATATATATCTCTAGATCACAAAGCCTTGGTTTTAACTTATGATTTAAAATTTACATATATATAGGGCATTGTGGTATAGAGATATCTCCTCTATCTGTCAAAGTGGATGATAATGGTTGGAGTCAATTACTATTCTCCCAAAATGGATGGTGAAGGTTCGAGTCAATTATAGTCATTATTCTCCAACTAATAAGCACGGACACGGAATACGGAAATACAAAAACGGCAAATATAAAAAAATAGGATATGATTACGGATGTGACTGTACACACAAATTTTGTATCTGCAAATAAAGAACGAAATATGGAACAAACAATAATTTTATTAATTTATAAAAATTGAGTACAATCCTCTGAAGTATTCTTTACTAAAGAAAAAACTTGTCCTCTGATTCGATCTTCTTTGCTGGTTGGATTTAAGGGTTGTTGGGAGTTGATCTTGAATCAATTTGTTGACAATCTTCTTTAAATATTTGTAGTTGAGGAAGATCGTCGACAATTTCTGATCGAGTGCTGAAGAAGCTTTATCTTGAATAGATTGTCTGATGATTCTTTAAACTTGTTGAATCATGAGGAAAGAACGATACGATTTTGATGCACTTGTTATTCTTTGTTGAATTTAAGAAAGAATAACACAACTTTAGACGTGCTTGTTGTTCTTCATTTTGAGGAAGAACGATACGACTTTGGATGTGCTTGTTGTTCTTCATCTTTGTAGAATTTGTGAAGAATGGATATGTGTGTTGTTAATCACCGCGGAACATACGACACGATTTGATGTATGTATTATCTGTTGAAATTGAGGAAGAACAACATGATTTTTTTAATGTGCTTATTGTTGTTCTTCTTCATCACTTGGGTGTTGAGAGAATAAATGTTTGTCCATGCCAGTTATGTTGCGATAATTATCCATTAAAGTAATTATCTCCAAATATTTTTTTTTGAGAATAATAATTTTTTTATTTAACTAACTGGGACAGGCTAGTTAAATAATTTAAATTGACTAAGTTTGGGCTTGAAAAATTTAACCTGAAAATTTTAAATAGGCATAAAGACCCATATTTGATCGGCCAATTTACTAAGAGAAAAACCCACAAAAATTTGTTTTGAAGTATCTGAGAAATATCGGATATATGGTAAAAGTATCTGAGAAGTATCCACGAATATCCGAGGAGTGTCAATATCGGATACGAACACAATATGGGTATACCAATCATGTAGATGTAACCGTGCTTCCTAATCCTCCACGAATCAAAGTGAATGCTTCAAAATTTCTTGATAGGGTAAAAATGTTTCACATATTATGCATAATATAAAATTTTATTGCTTATAAAGTCTTTATTATAAAAGTTTTTTGGTAAATGTATTTCTCTAGATTTTTTTAACAAATGGTCATTTTTTAAAGTAATGTATAAAGTATGATAACTTAGGGTGCGTTTAGTAAGGTTTTCGTTTTCTGTTTTTGTAGTCGCAAAGAAATATAAACATAATTTTGTTTTTCGAAGTAAAAACAGAAAGCAAAAATAACATTTAGTAACCTTTGTTGTTGCCACAATTTTAATAACAAAAAACAAAAAGCAATGTTTAGTAAAACATTTGTTACAAAAAAATTTTTTTTTTTGGAAATTTTTTTAATTTATTTTTTTATCCATCGATCAAAATCTAACTTTCAATCACAATAAAAGACATAATCTAAAAAGGAAAATATATATATATATACACACACACACACACACACACACACATATACGGGGTAAGATAAGCGTACAATTATATAATGTACATATATAGAATATATAAATAGATTTTATATATACATATATATTAACAAAAAATCTGAAAATAAACCACAACCAATACATGTATAACAATAAGAAAAAGGAAAAAAAAAAAAAAAAAATAGAGGGTGTACAGTTGCATAATGTATATATATAAAATATAAAAATTGATTTTGTATAATGTATATATATAGAATATAAAAGTACTAATGGAGTAATGTCAGTGATTGTGTATTAATGGGAGAGTAATGTCAGTTGTTGCGTAAAAAATAAGGAAAAAGATGGTGAAAACGTTTCCTCTATTATAGTGAAAAAACACAGGAAACATCATTTTGATGTTTTCTTTTTCTTTCATAAAAATGAGAAATGTTTTTCATTAAGAGAAAACAAAAACAAATTACGAAACATAATTTTTGTGTTTGTTTCTCTTTTTTAAGGATTGACAACAGAAAATAAAAAATATTTTGAATTACTAAACACACCCTTAGTCAACAGTTGGATTAAATTGTCATTGGTGTAAAAATTTGACAAAACCAAAAACCAACAGTTGTATTTCTTCTACGGACCAGATGAGTTTGGACTTGGGCCAACCAACAATTGTATTTTTTACGGACCATATGAGTTTGGACTTGGGCTTAAGGCCCAAGTATTAATCCATTTTAAAACCCACCCTACTCCGATGTGTTTTCATTTCCAATTGAGAGGCTTCGCTTTAACAGGTACATGTGTCACACGGTATCAGTATATGTGTGTGTATCAGTGGATCTATCCATCATCGGTTAGCAGCGGCATTTTAGGTACTCTCTCTCTTTCTCTCTCGATATATATATATATATATATATATATGTAGGCACACGCACATATACTATATATATACAAAGTCACACATATGCATACATATATACATATACGTTTGTTTGTGTGTATGTGTGTTTAAGATGATATGAACGTGTTAATGTAGTTGAGACAATCTTAATTTCTTGTTATTTCAGTGTAATAGTACGCTCAATCAATTGGAAACTTGGATGGCACAGAGAGGCGTTTGGCAGCTCCAAAAGCTGATTGTGAGCTATTGTGATTGGGGAGGAAGTAGCAGAGGAATTAGGTATTGTGTTCTTTCATATAATTATGAACTTCAAGAATCACATTGTAATGTTCATCCTTAGTTATGATAGAAACGAGTAGAAGGTTGTATGAATCAAATTTATACTACTATGCCGTCATATTTTATTGATTTATTTAATGAGTTTGCTACAGGAGGTGGAAAATCTGCTATTTATTCTTATGTGATATTTTTGTTGGTTAATTTTGGTCAGTTAATTGAACTTAAAAAAAGAGTAGGTCAGAGGATTACAAGTTAAGCAGCCGAAATAATTGTGACCTGACATTGAAAAATCATATAAAGTTCAAAAATTGGAGAGAGAAAATATTTTTCTAAAATTTTATAAAAAAGTATTCAATTTATTGATTTACTTGTGGCATTGAATCGGGTAAAAATGGATACAAAATTCACTTGAAAAGATAAAATAAAGAATTATTCTAGTACATCATCTTATAAAGTCTTTGAATACATTTTCATGGTCTTTTGCATGTAAAATTAGGCATTTATGTTCATCTATGCTACATGGACTTTGGTATATGTATTGGGTACCGGTATGTGTCCAAGTGTGAGAATTCCTCAAGTTCAAATCCTAGGACACGGGGAAATGTGTCAAAAAGTTGGAGACGGGTACATGTATAGGCATTATGCATTTACATATATTATATGTATATAGTAGTATAATATCTAAGGTTGTTGTTCTTTAAGAATATACTTCATTATGAATTAAAGTGAAGGGGATGTGTTAAAAAATAGGTTTTCATCTACCTCAAAAACCTGAAAGTCTTCTTTGTTTTCAAATTTTTTTTTTTACTTCTTCTACAAACATCATATGTGAAGGATTAGGGTGACCAATTTGGTTTTGTTTGTCCGACTCATACGCATACCCACGTCATCTTGTGTCAACAAAGGCACGTGAAAGGAGAGTAGAATACATGTAATACTGCAATAAATGTAGGATGAGCACTTCCACATCGTCAATAGTAACTCTTTTGTCTTTGGAAAACATTGAAATTGTTAAAGAACTCAAATAATGAAAGGAAATTTGGGAAGATAAACAATTCCTGTTTTTTGGAATCTTAACAATTCTATAGTGAACGGAGGAAAATAGAGTGCCCTACTACTTCTCATGCAAATTTTGTGTGTGTTCATTTTTTCTTTTCTTTTTTTCCTCTGTGATGACTGATGAGTCATAGAAATTATGTATTTCAACATATAATCTCCTGCAATTAACCCAGAATAATTACGATCTATCAATTTGTATTGTAGCTCCGTTTAGATGTAATCACTTGCAATAAGCTAGTAAATAGAGAATCTCTTGATGATAGATTACAACCCTAATTTCTAATTAAGTGAAAACTCTGATATACTTGTTAAGAAATACACCTCCCTAAGCAAAATTTTAACCCTATTCCAGATGAATGGTACTACAAGCTAAACTTTGCCGCACCTTCATCTCTTCTGATTGACCCTTGTAAACACGCCATATGCTAATTATGGAGATCTCTAGGTTTGTTCTTTTTTATTTGTATACCATTGCAATGATGAGGAAACCAACATGGCAGGGCATTTATGGAGTCTCGTTTGCCAGCATTTAGAGATGGGAATCCTCAACTGAAGTTGGATACTGAACTCATTCGTGGTCAGCATCCACATTTGAAGGGTTTCTATAGTAAGACATCTCTCTCTCCCTCTCCCTCTCTCTCTCTCTCTCTCTCTGTGTATATAGATTCTGGGTGATTGCATTTGATACACGTTCTTATGACATGAGTTCCCATTGTTTCTTCTCTTAATTATAGGAATGACGTGATTTTTTCATTTGGAAAAGTAGGAAACAATCGTAGCATCAAAGTGTGCTATGTTATGAAAATGTAGTTTTACAATTGGTGTACTTATTTTAAAGTTTCTGCTGAATTAAAATCAAACAACTATATGGCCTAGTTAGGAAGTACTCATTAGCTAAATTGTATACTTGTAAACACATTTTTCAACCTTCTTTTGCACCTTAATAACTTTGGGCAGACAATCAAATGTTTAGCTGCTTCGAGCTCGCTTGGACAAAATCATAACCGAAGGCTGTCAATATGATAGACTGGAACATGGTTGCTGTTAGATTTTTTATAACTTTTATTCAGGTTAAATAAAGAGCTCCTTTGAAAGTGGATGGTTTTCAAATTACTTTTGCAGGATAAACATATTATGGTAGAAATACTGTTAAATCTGATAATTTTAATTGTTCAAGAGTTCTTTTAGTTTCTGTTATTGGTTCAAAACTCTCTTAACAAATAAAATGTGGAATTTGTGGTATTGCTGAGGCATATTTTCATGTCAAAACCATAAAGTGGTCAAAGAATGTGCCTTCTTTCTCGTTGCTTGATGTTGCATGATTTTGTTGGAGGTAGCCATCATTACAATCCAGAAATTGATCCACAAGGTTATGCGAAATCATGTATAATGCAGTTTAAGATGAATATTTCTCTTTCATACTGACTGAATACTAACAGCAAAGAACTGGGATAATGACATCTTAGCCTCACATTTTACTTGAATAATCATTAAAAATGTTCTGATGGAGAAAGGTTCCCAGTAAGCAATGTGCCTCATGCTAGGACATTATTGCAAGGATATCATATAGCAGAAGGTGATGACTGGTTTCTTAAATTTTGTTCAAATAGAGATTATATTTTCTGTTGGCAGTCTTCACTGCGGCATCTTGAGCTGATATCCAGCTCCATTCTCCCACTCTGTTTAGGGCCATATTAGTAGGTGGTAGAGAACAGTGGCATCAGCCTTTTAAAGTATTTAAAAGGCGTGGCAAGAAGGATTCTAGAGCTCAAACCTTTATTTGGCACATGCTAGACGATGGGGTCCACTTGGAGTCTTGCATAATTAGGGGCTTTGGTCAAATTGCGTTAGTTTGGTAATTGCATTAATTATGGTGAATTAGCATCATTTTGGTAAATTGCATTATTAGGGGGTTTGATCAAATTTCATTATTTTGGTAATTGCATTAATTATGGAAAATCTGCATTGTTTTGGTAAATTGCATCAATTAAGTTATTTGTTACTTTATTAAGTTAGAGTCAACTTTTGATTACCTCCATTGTAGGGTAATCCAAGGGTCATCTTTTATTATAAAAAAGATACTATGTAACTCTGAATACTTAGCGAATGATTGAATAAAATTATCCTTTGAGATTTCTTTGTGAGTGATTCACAAATTCTGAGGGTGTGAGGCCTTCTCTAGGTGTGATACCTAGGTCCTATTGGAGTGATTCCAATAGGCTTTTCTTTGTTATTTTCGATCCGTCTTTTCTACTAACAACCCCTGAATATTAGCTTTGTTTCTGAATTTCCAGCCCATAACTCTTATTTACTTTCTTCTATTTGAGCCTGTCCTTTGTCCTACATCAGTTTTTGGTATCAGAGCTTATGTAGACATTATGTTTACTCAATCGGCCAATGAAAGATTGGACAATAATCAAAAGACTGAGTTGCTGTTACAAATTTTGGAAAAGCTTAAAGGGTTGAATGCTCAATGCGATAGGATAGGGGCTCGAATTTCCCAGCCTTTTAACAAATCGGTAGCCCTTAAAGAAGAATATGCATTGGGTTCTAATGATGGCAGAAACCGCAAGCAACAACAGCCTTTACACTCTATGCAAAGGTGCAATTTGAAGGTTGATCCACCACTCCATCCCGTGTTGGAGTTTCCAAGAAATCCATTAGAGATGAATCATCACGAGCCACATGATGTTACTGGAGATATTACAAAGAAGTTACGTGATGGAACTCACCGCACACAAACAACAACAATGCAGCCAAATGATGGATCGAAACCATCTTTATCTAACATGGCTGATCCTGAAGGAAAGAGTATGATGGCTAGCAAGGATTGTGAGAACCTGCTTGATGATGAGACGTGCAACACTGATCATGTGAAAGAAGTTGGAGAGATTGTTTGTCCATCTCCGTTGTGACGCGCATGCTTGAAGACCCTAAAGTTGGTAGCAAAGATGGGCAGCAGACCTCTCATTTTGAGATGCAAGTTCATTGTGGAAATCAAGCTTGGAAGCCTACCATTGATGGCGGTGGCAGCCCAAATGTTGTCTCCATAGCCATGGTTAAGCGTCTCAAAATTTCCATCAAACCATATCCACAACCATTCAAAGCGTCTTGGATAGATAGTACTTCTATTCTGAATCTTTCAAAAGATGCGGCTATTGGAGTAGATACTTGGTGTATATTAGTGGGCACTGCAAAGAAATGGGAGCATGCTTGTGCCAAGAAGCAACAGAAGCTGGTTCAGATATCCACCAACTTGGTAGATGAGGTCTGGAAAAACCAACAGCCAGAAGAAACTAATCCTGTAAGTGATAAACTATAGGGGTCTCGCGCATCAAAAGATCATTTTAAAGGGTTAAGTTTTCCTACTATTTCCTCAGTTGGTCCTAATGCAGCAATTATGCATTATAAACTAGAGGAGAAAACATGTTTAGGACTTGATCCAAACAACATTTGTCTATTGGATTCTGGAGCACAGTACCTAGATGGAACCAACTAGTTTGCTCTTTATGTTCTTGCTCGAATACATTCATGGAAGGATAGCCTTGAGTTTCGACATGGTACTGGGCATGGAGTTCATATCAGAGGTGATGGGTTAGATGCTAATTTTGTTATGGGGTTGCGTAGAACTAGTCGAGGACATGATGCTATAACCATTGTTCTGGATCTTTTTTCGAAAAAGGTGCATTTTCTTCTATGTTCTATGACCTCCAATGCTGTCCACGATGCCAAACCTTTTTTTTTCAAGAAGTTGTCCAACTTCATGGGTTGCACAACACTATTATTTTTGATCGAGCTTTGAAGTTTATGCATTGTTTTTTGGTGCAAATTATGGAAATTGTTGAATACAAGGCTGAAATTTTCTTGCTCTTTTCATACTTATGAGCAATTTCATCCCTTTAACTCGTCGGAGCCGAGTTTTTCCAAGCTGGAGAAAAATGGTAGAGAACAGTGGCATCAGCCTTTTAAAGTATTTAAAAGGCGTGGCAAGAAGGATTCTAGAGCTCAAACGTTTATTTGGCACATGTTAGACGATTGGGTCCACTTGGAGTCTTGCATAATTAGTGGTTTTGGTCAAATTGCATTAGTTTGGTAATTGCATTAATTATGGTGAATCTACATCATTTTGGTAAATTGCATTATTAGGGGTTTTGGTCAAATTTCATTATTTTGGTAATTGCATTAATTATGGAAAATCTGCATTGTTTTGGTAAATTGCATAATTAGATTAAATTGCATCAATTAAGTTATTTGTTACTTTATTAAATTAGAGTCAACTTTTGATTACCTCCATGGTAGGGTAATCCAAGGGTCATCTTTTATTATAAAAAGGATACTATGTAACTCTGAATACTCAGCGAATGATTGAATAAAATTATCCTTTGAGATTTCTTTGTGAGTGATTCACAAATTCTGAGGGTGTGAGGCCTTCTCTAGGTGTGATACCTAGGTCCTATTGGAGTGATTCCAATAGGCTTTTCTTTGTTATTTTCAATCCTTCTTTTCTACTAACAACCCCTGAATCTTAGCTTTGTTTCTGAATTTTCAGCCCGTAACTCTTATTTACTTTCTTCTATTTGAGCGTGTCCTTTGTCCTACATCAGCAGGTTAACCTTATGTACTAAGAAGCACGGAAACGGATACGGACACAGACACAGATACAACATGACACGAACACAGCAACACGGAAAATCCTAAAGAATTAGGACACGGACGCGGACACGGCGAATAATAAATATATATTTATATATATTTGTATATATATTATGATGTACTTTTATTTTTTATCACCCTAATAATGAAAAAAAATTTGTACTATGCCGTGAAAAAGAAAGAATGATAGAAAGAGGGTTAAGAAAGAGAAGAAAACAAAGAAACAAAGAGGATTATGGTTTTGTTAGAAAAAGAATTAGGGCTTAGTTGGTAAGAATCCATAGAAGAGAATAAGTTCATGGAAATAAGAGGAAAACGAGATACAAAAAGAATTTTGTTGTGAAAGGAAAAACCAAGAAGTACCTAGGGTTTGTGAAGAAGTAGAAGAAGAATGAAAGAAAAGAGGAGGACAAAGAAGAAGAGAGAAAAGAGGGGAGACAGAGAGAGGCCATCCACCGGGAGCAAAGCTTGGTCGGTGGGAGAACAAGAGAGAGTCAAAGATTGTCGTGCAAAACTATGAACCTTTGAACTAAAATATGAGCATAAATATTTGATTGTTTAATAAAAAAAATTGTTTTATAAAACAACTTTTAAGTAATTATGTAATGACCATCATATTTCTCAAAGCGCTATTAAACAATCCTTCATATTTACACTTCAACATATCTTTCTTTCTAAAACTTTCTTAAAATCTCCATATGCCTTGCTAAAAAAAAAAAAAAAGAATATTGGGACATGCATGTCGGACACATATCCATGGTGTGTCCGATGCGTGTCCGCACCGTGTCTGATTATTAAAAAAAAAAATTTAAAAATCAGACACGTTTTTTGGTGTGTAAGGCGCATGTCGGTGTCCGACATGGATTTTTTGCTCTTTTAGGAGTGTCTGTGCTTCCCAGCTCATGTAGATTTTGATTTCTTCACTTTTTTGGGCCTAACTCATGTTAATATCTTTTTCCTTCTATTTGACCTTATAGAGCAAAAAAAAAAATTTTTTTTTTTTTTTTTTTTTTAATCTTACAAATAGGATTTTAAAAGGGAAATAAAGGGGGGTGGTGGTTCGTCACTGAGGCATTAAACTCAGATATACAGACTTTGATGGTAAATGATTCAATTTTCAGAAATGGTCATTCCTAATTAGGCCATCGTTCATAGGTGAACAATTAGTGTAGACCATATCCTGATTCATGATTTATTTGGGCTGATTATTTGTTAAATTTTTATTCGGCTTGGATCATACTGAGGTGTCTGCAGGGCCGACCCTGAGAGGTCCAATATTTTATGAGGCTCTAGGTGAATGTGAAGCCCAAAATTTTGAGAGGCCCTAGTAATACAAATTTTTGGGCCTTAGTAATGCAATTTTTTTGACCCAAATTAGAGGCCCTAGGCGACCGCCTGGGTCGCCTAGGCCCAGGGCCGGCCCTGGGTGTCTGACAGATCTCTTGTTGCTCGAATGTTGAGGTTCTTGGGATCTAGAGTGGCAACTTAAGCAATCTTGTAGAGGCAATCTTTTTAAGGTTGGTGGCTTTGGTGTAGATAGCATGATTTTGATGGTAAGTCAAAGCATCATAATGACACAAAATGCTAATTTGTTCCATGGAGTTACCCCAAAGACAACAGCAAACCTGGTGTGGTCTACAGAACGATTAGAATATTGTTCTATAAGCACAAAATGGTATCAGCATTAACTGAAAGTATTGACATTTAGTGAGGCCAAACATCTTGGTAAATGTATCATATAATGATGAAAGGCAATACCTTAAAATGTGAATACTAATTTAACGAATAAATGCATGTTCTCAATTAAAAAAATACAACGAAATAAGTAACTATGATTTGTACTATTATTGCTTAGTTCCCTGTGGGCATTTCCTTTTCTGGGAAGGATCATCTTTAACTGATTGAGCTTGTGAACAATTGAACTTACATCTCTCTCTCGCTCTCTCAAAATTGTCAGAATTTTTTTTCCCTTGGCAAGAATCTCACACACCCATTTGTCCCTAAGCGACTTGAACCCTCACCTTCCACTTTGGGAGGTACCCTTGGTTGTATTGTTTTGAAACTTTTGTTGCTGTTTTTTTCTTTCTTTCTTGTTTTCCTTCCCTATTCCTTTTAATAAATAGATAAACCAGCAAGTGTTCCATTTATTGAATGCACAGGAAACAAGAACCAACGTGTAGTATGTGTGAAGAATTTATCTCCTGAAGACATACTGTTACAGGCGACTAGGCTAAGGGATGCATTAGGGAGAAAGGTGGAAAAGCTTAAGAGAAGGCATGTTACCAAAAGCCCAAGTGTACAAGGTACATGGACCACGGACTTTCAACCTTGAGGTTCAAGATACTTCAGTAGACTAAGAGGCAGTTGAGGACTGGCTTAAGCCATCACAGTGGTGAAAATGTAAATTTGACCTGTGACAATTTCCATGTGACACTTTGGTACGTGCCAAAGCTGAGTTTTTCTTCTTCTTCTTCTTCTCCTCTCTCTCTCTCTCTCTCTCTCTCTCTCTCTCTCTCTCTCTCTCTCTCGCTCTCTTAATTACTATGGGTCCTGAGAAACATGCACCTTCTCTGTCAAAATTGAAAGAAAAGACCAAATTTCATTTTCATTTCATCAAAATTCTTTCCTTGTCAATTCTTTAGCAACATTTATCTTGTGAGGCTATTATTATTTTTATTATCATTGTTATTATTTCTTATTTTTTATTTTTTACTTTATTGGTAATGAAGAAACAACCCACCCGCTAGTCACTTTGGACACTTGGATGGTTTGCAAATTCCAGATGCCAATCCCACAAATCACATACATCATTTAAAATCATATTGTTGCATTGTTATCTAAATTAGTAAAACTATCCAATTAAATTTGTTGGTTTTTATGATCTGAAATTAAACTAAGAAATTACATGGGTTGTTTGGCTTTGAATTCTTGAAGTCCTGCTTTTTTTTGTTTTGTTTTCTTGCTCGTATTAGAACACACGCATACACATTCGCATGTGAGTTTGTTTGTACCCCATCTGCCTGACTTAACTCTAGATGTCACTTCCAATTTTAAGTCCTGTCAACTTCCAGATTATTGTAGACATGTGCGTTCTTGCGTGTCTAGCACCTCTAATGTTGAGATTGCAAACTTGAGAAAAAAAAAAAAAAAAAAAGAAAAAAAATCCTATTATGATATTCTATCATGTTAGACACATGGAAACTTTTTACTATCTAATATTGGGAATAAAATGGCTGATTATAGTTTGTGTGACTGTTTTTTGTTTTTCTTTGTGAGGAGATCATGTCTGATTCGTGAAGCAATTGGGGGAGGAGAAGCAGAGACTAGAGAGATGTATAAAAAGTGTGGTCTAAACCTAATTCTAGACAGAGTAGGCATAAGGTCGTTGTCTTTGAAAGCTTAGGATAAACTTTCAGTTTCAACAATGACACACCTGTTGCCACTACTCTAAGTAGTATCACTTCACCCACCCACAGCTACTCCTCAATTTCAACTACTGATCTTGGACTTTGTTGGTGTGTTTTCTCTCTCCAGTGAAATATTAAGTTGACTTGTGAGGAAAATGGAAATTAGAATATAACATGCCATCCACTCTCTTTGAAGACATCTGATAAAAATGAAAAATGGTGTATTAACTTTTCCCAAATCTAAATTTTATGTGTCAACTATATTATTGCTTTTCCAATTTCATACTCTTCATTTATTCATATATATCTTATTGTTCCTTTGTAGTATTTTCACAGTTGACCCATCCAATTGCTCATAGTTATTGCTTAAGTATTCTATATTTTTTTTAATGATTCATTGTGCTTACTAATTTGTTTTGGAGCTTATCTGTTGCTCAGAATATCATATTAAGAATAATGCAATTAAGACAGGCTTTTAGAGCATTGACTCCTACTCTAATCCACTCCACGCTGTTTGCTCTCTTCCTTTTTCTTTTACAAGGCATACACTAGTGTCACTAGGCTGTATCATTTATCAAAACTCAATTCCCACTATGGATTTGATCACAGTAAGGTATTGTATAACGGTCCCACTTAATGGACTGGACTTGTGTTTTCATTCATATCTAACCGTAGGATTCACAACTATGTTTTGTTCTGCCTGTACCTTTCCAAACAAGAAACCATTCTGTTGCATTATTGAGTTTATTGTTGGCAAACCCTGTAAAAAAGATCATTGAAGTGTAATCTTTTTTTTTTGAGATATGAGATATTCACACGATCATTATCAATATACTGCTATTTTTAGTTTGTAATATGTATTATTTAGGCCATAATTACTAAAGCCTGAATGCTTCTTGATTACACATTGCATCCTTACATCTTATTTGATTCAATATATGCTGAATTCCATGTGCAAGACTTTCGAAATAAGAAATACTGCCATCCGAAGAAGTAGAAGTTCAAGATAATTTTATTTCTATGCTCGTTTGTTTTGTATTATAGTGAAAAATTGTCTGCTTTTATTAGAATTCATCAATATGATTATTAGGCTGGAATGGTTCTATTTCCTGTAGTTCATCATTTACCGAATATTTAACGTTAAAAACTTTTATTTCCTGTGATGTGTTGATAAATGTTTTAGCTTTATATCCTGAAATGTTACATCAAAGCATTCTCGATACTATGTTCTGTTTCAATGGAAAAACAGGTAATATCGACCGGAATTCATAAAATTGATACCTTCTTGCATTGGAAAATTGTTAGACATCATATGGCATACCATGTGAGTGAGTAGTGTCCCACCTGCACTCCTATAATGTACATCTGATCTACGTTTTTTGACAGAAAACCTCACACCACATATCATGCTTTATCTGAAATTATGCACACTTATATCTGTTAGATTTTCTTGCATACACACACACACCTACTCTAATGTCTTTATATATCTGGGATTTTTGGTTGTTTAGTTGCAATTTTACTGTCTCTGCATTATTGACACCATAAATTAAACCTAACACAAATTGGTGTATTAGTTGACTACTTGAGTGGGCTCAATTTTTTGGATTCTCTTACACATTCTGTTTTTGAGTTTTTATTTATTTAATTTTATGGGTTGCTTAGTTGCAACAAACATGTCAACTTGAGTTGCTCAGAAGCTACTGTATATCTCTCTTCTCTCTCTCATGGATGACTTATGGAGTTTTATATAGATTATATTATATAATTGTGGAATAAAATATTTGTAGGTCGGTTGTATATTCACTGGCATACTTGCTCAACCTTGCTCACAGTATCTTCTAAGCTACCACTTTGTTATTTTACTTTTTGTTGTAGCAATAAATAAATAGATTGTGCTTGTGCTAAAGATACACATATAGAGGTGGCCTAGAACATAGGTAAGGAGAGGAACACATGACAGACTGATCCTTTGCTTGCCCTAAACCTACTTTCTTATCCTGGCTTTGGTGCCCTTACGTGCCTCACACACACACACACACACACACACACAATAATTGTTCACTCCAAGAACCTGCCCTCCTTGACCCTCTCTCAACCATTTACTTACCTATCTTTCATTTGTAATCCATTTGCATTCTATGTTCATCAATCTTTTACCCTATATAACAATTTAGTTTTAAATTCACATATTTTTATTTGTACATGATCAATCTGTATCTTAGAGTTTATAAACAACTTTAGGAATGGTGTGATGTTGTGGTCTGAGTTTTATTTCGGCTTAAGTCGTTTTGACCCATTTTCTCTTGTTGGTTGTGGACTCGGGTTGTGGGCTCGGAGTATATAAAGACGTTTATGATTTGCAGTGTGGTACGAGAGAACACTGAAAACAGCAGTTTAAAGAAAGAGGATTTGGGAGCTGCAACTTGTAATATTCTGTTTTTTTCTCTTTCGTTGAATCCTCACTATGGACCTAGGTTTTACGCCGAACCATATAAAAAGTAAATTGACAATGACATAAAAGTGGTGCATGTATTTATGTTGTGTTTTTTTTATGGTCCTTGGACCATTGGTCCGGGCTAATCAAGAAGTGATACATAAGCAAAAAGTAAATTGACAATGACATAAAAGTGACGCATTTGTTCATCTATAGCTATAACTTTATGATTGACTCAGGATGAATGGTCTTGGGACCATGTAATAACTTCTCTAACACATGGAATATTCTGACAATGTCTAAACTATTTTTATTCCTTATAAATGGCTATGTAAGATTATAGTTTGTCACATACAGTGCACCAAAAAAACCCTAGGGGACATACTAAGGCAAAAAAATGAAGCCAAAATTGTGCAAGTGCACTAACTAGAGCTAAGTAGTTCTCCACCACTTGACAGCCTTATTGTGTAGTTTTGGTCTCCTACATTGATTGTAATAATATTTTACTAGTTTCTAATTTATGACGATATTTTATCTCCTAATTAAACTTACTAGACGTGCATATTTGAGTTGATACAAGTGTCGTTGATTGAAAGGATCAGATCAATATTTAACCCCTAATGATTGAATAAGAGTGTATATATATATATAAACAATTCACAGAATTATTTGATGATCAAGTGGGCGTGATATGTGGTAGAGAGTCCATACAAGTGACTTATGAATTACACGAAATTAGACTAACAGGTGGGTCAACTGCACATGAACCGACTGATTAGATAACTAAAACTACACATAATTATTTTTATCCCCAAACTTAATGATTTTTATTAGTATTTAATCATCATCAGTGTGTTGATGAATTCAATAATCTTTTAGTGTGTAACAAGCAAAGCTAAGGTACAACCCCTTTCTTCATTAAAATGAAGATTACAATCCCTTGATTACTCAGCTAGAAATTAACAGGACAAAATATGAGTCCCTGTAGCGCTACATACTGATAAAATTTTATAAAGATCATCTGTAAACAACAAATATCATTTTGACCAAGTATTTTTCTATTATGTGAAATTTAAATTTAGAAATTTCTGAGTTTATGGTTTGCCCTAGACCTTTGTGGTTGTTGTTCTTTTTTTTTTTTTTTTTCTTTTTTTCAGATCGTCTGAATTTTGGAATAAATAAGAAACATGATGAAGTGGTCCAAAAAGAAAATGAAAGAATAGAGTGCACAGTAGATTCCCTACTTCCAGTCTTGGCCCCCAATCATCATCTCTTCTCTTAGAGAGGGAGAATCCCTTAGGCAAAGTAATGGGTTGCTTTCTTCCCAACACCCAGAATCTTTCTTTCTCTCTCTAAAACACAACTCCTCTCTCTCTCTTCTTACAGATCATATATATCATATATATATTCATATGTCTGCGTCTTATCATAGTATCTTTTCTTCAACAAGACGTGAGCATGAGGGTGCATGCTTGTATCGTGCAACCATGTTTTTTATTTTGCTATTTTTGTGGTCTACTTTTAGTTGTTAAATTAATTTTGCCATATATATGTGTGTAATATATATATATATATATTATATGAATCCTGTTGTGTGAAGTTCATCGCCCAAGTGTGAGAAAGAGAGTGTGAAACGGACTTTGCATTAACAAACTTCACCACCTCCAACTATCTAACTCCCCCAAATTTAGCATTTTTTTAGTTAAAAATTGCTTGTTTCTCCTCTCTTTGCTATTTCTCTTCCTCTCCTTTCACTCTCTCTCTCTCTCCCTCTAAAATTATCTCCCTCTCTCTCTCTCTCTAAATTAACACCTATATATGTATAGATGAACTGGCGGACTAATCCACACTTACTCTCTGGGTTGTCTTTTGACTCCTAAACTCTCTCACATTCACTATATATAAATATATACATATATACATATAAACGCCCCCACTCTTCTCCCCTACCTTGCTTCCTCCAACCAGCCCCCCTTTCTCTCTCTCTCTCTCTAGATTTTCTATTAGTTGTGGTGCTGGTGGAGAAGCATGGAAGCTATAGACGAACTCACAGGTCCTAAAGATCATTCCCACATCGTAAAAGGCAAGCGAACGAAGCGACAACGGCCACAATCTCCGATACCATTCACGATCACCGCCAACTCTTCAAGCGGAGATGGAGGCGGCGGATATGGCAGCAATGGAGACATCATCAACAACAACAACCACCACCACCACGAAACGAATTACTCGTCCCCGGCCACTTCCGGTGAGTTCATGGATAGCACGACTGAGGAAGAGGAAGACATGGCGAATTGCCTGATTCTTCTGGCTCAGGGTGGCCATTCAAGAGAACCGTCTAACCCTAAAGAGGACGAAGAGGCTGCCGGATTAACGTATAAATTTACGAGTAAGAGATACTTAGAAGCCCCGTCGTCGGGGAATGGCAAGATGGGGATTTTTGTGTACCAATGCAAGACTTGCAGCCGGACTTTCCCTTCATTTCAAGCTTTGGGTGGACATAGAGCTAGTCACAAGAAGCCTAAGCTGATGGCCGCCGCTGCCGCCGCGGAGGAGAGGAAGAGGCCGGTAGTGTTGTCCGACGAGGAAGAGCCTCTCTCCCTTCAATTGAGCAACAAGGGTTTCTATGGCAGTGCCACTAAATTCAAGGTCCATGAGTGTTCAATATGTGGGGCTGAGTTTTCGTCCGGACAAGCTTTGGGAGGTCATATGAGGCGTCACCGGGGTCCTAGCGGTACCAACACAACCTTGTCTTTGAGTCCTACAAGTCCTCCTATTGTCTTGGAGGCCGAGGAAACCAACAACAAGGCTAGAAATGTGTTGACTCTGGATCTCAACCTTCCGGCTCCCGAAGACGATCATCTTCGGGATTCGAAGGTTGCCTTGTCCTCGAAGCAGCAGCAACAACAATCACCTCTCGTCTTCCCAGCCACTCCTGCTTTGGTGGATTGTCAATACTGATGTTCAATTTTGTTTATACACGCGAGTTTCGGCTATGGATATCTGAATCTCAAAAGTAGATGAATGTGAGAATTAACCATCTATGATCATTATTCTTGATGTTATACAGTTGCAAAACTATTGATTTTTTTTTTTTTTTTTTCTTTCTTTTTCTTTTCCTTTTGAATTCTTTTTGACATATTGATCATTTGATAATTGGAATTGGAATTCTTTGATTAATTAATTCTTTGTGAAGCTGTTTGTGTTGTGATGGGATTTTGATTCATGGAAAGTGCATGAAGGGCATTCTTTTTCTTTTTTTCCTTTTTGATTTGGTTTTGTTGTTATTTTCAGTAGGAAGGAATGTGCAACACTAGTGTGTGTGTGCGTGAGAGAGAGAGAGAGAGAGGTTGCTTGGAATTTTCACCACTACCACAACAAGAGGTCCGTGGCTTAGGTTTTCATTGTTTCATTTACAAGAAACTCTCTCTCTCTCTTCTCTCTCTCTCTTAGGTGATGACAAAGAATAAAGTAAGCAATGCCAGTAAGTCACTGCACTTCCCATATGAGTCCACCTCCCATCTTTTCTTTTTCTCTTTCTGTTAGCTAATAATATATTGCTTTTTAGATATGCCCACAGTTAGCTATTTTTGTTCTTTTCTTTGCTTGGTGGTCCACTATTTTAGTTAACACATCATTCATTACAAACTAAGCAATACCTATATATATATATATATAGACACACACACACACACACATCTAGTGCCTGTGCCTTAAACTCAACCAACCTAAACAGGTCTAATTGAGTTATGAATCGTCCTTGCCCTTAAATTCAACCCTTTTTCACTCACAACATAAAGTGCATCAAATTACATTAATTTCATCCATGTATCAATCATATATGTACATTGTGGTGTCCACGGTATTAATTGTGGTAGGCCATGAGATATAGTGAATAGCAAAGATGACTAGCTGCCTGTAGTGATCAAATTAATCAAGGCCGGCCAAGAACACTGTGGCTTTAGCTAATGATAAACAACAATAATCTCAACGTGCTATATATATATATATATATATATATATATATATATATATATATATTATAACGAACATGTCAATTCACTCACTAGTTATTTTGAATTCTCGGATAATTTACAAACTCTGAATGCATAAAATTACCAGCAAACCTACCCCGCCATTTGTTTCCTTAGGTAGCATGGAGTTGGATGTTTCAAATATATATATATATATATATTGATTTAATTGTGTTTGAAAAATTAATACTTGTGAAATGAGCATACATGTGTGATGAGCACAAATTAGTCGATAATATCCATTCAAAGTAAAGGTTAGCTAGAGGTGACAAGGTACCTTACACCAAAGGTTGGTCCTAGTATCATGGCATATCCCATCATCATGAGCTGGTTCTAGAGAGAGAATGAGATGTGTCATTTGCAAGGTTACTTACTATTAATGGTTACACGCCAAACTCTGCAACTGTGAATATCTCATAATTAATTTGAGGGTTTTACATTTTCATGTTTTTTTCTTTCATGTTCTTCTTCCCTCCACAATGACATAATTAAATATTAAATCTTTTTTTAAAAAAAGAAAAAAGAAAAGACCTTGCATCAAATGCACTTTAAGTGTACTTTTTTTTTTAAATTTTTTATTTATATATATATATATATATATATATTTATAATTAGCTAATTACTAGAAAATTTCATATAGTTTATTCTATTCAAACATTGCCATTTTTGTAAGAGAGATGTTTTGTTGTTTGTTATTTTTGGCTACGTCTCATTTTTAGGTTAACATTGTCTGCTTTTTCTTTTCGAGTTTGTTATAGCTGCCTTTGTCTGGTTTCAATTCCGGGATGTGAGGGGCTTGCAGTGGATTAATTTGGATTTTGTTTTACTATATTTCTTATTTTTACTATTTCTAGTACACATTTTTTCAAATAGATATGTATAGTAGCTGTAACTTAAAAGGGTAAAAAATAAATAAATAAAAGATCGGTGTTAATTCCGTAGGCAGGTGTTAAACCTAGATGGAGGAGTCTTTTTTTTTTTCGATAATTAGATGGAGGAGTCTAGGTTAGTCAAAAGATAGTTTTCGGTGCAATGGCTCAAGATGACCCTGTTTTTCCAGAATAAATTAAAGAGCGTATTGATTCTGGTTCAAATGGGAGATCCCTATGAACACTCTTCAAAGATTGAATGGTGAAAAATTTATGAAAAAAAAAAATCTAAGCGAAAATGATATTATGATATCAAATGTTGTTTAATGTTTATGCAACTATGCAGGAAGAGTTTGGTTTATACTTGGGCACTTTGCATCTTGTAGCTAAAATAATAATAATAATAAAGTAGGGGTGGTAATATTTCACATAATACACGAACAATACACGAGATAAGAAACACAATACGAGATAATAGAATTTGGATTTGGGCTAATCATGTTCGAGTTCGTGTCGATACGGATTGACCCGCGATAAGAAACACGACACGAGATAAGAAGATTTAAGTTCGAGCTAACCGTGTTCGTGTCGATACGGATTGACCCGTTAACTAAACGTGTCGTGTTTGATTCTATAAACAACATTATGACACGATTAACCCGATTAACTAAACGTGTCAAATAAACGTGTCGTTAGGACCAGCTCGAGCCTTAGCCTTTAGGCAACTTAGGCGGTCCTTATATTAAGTTATACTATAATTATTTTTTAATATTTTTAAACTCTAATAAATATAAAAAAATTATATTAAGCCTTCCCACTTGTTTTGATTTTATGTTAGGCATCAAATATTTATATCATAAAATAAGTTTTCTTTTCTCTCTCTCTCTCTCCATTCATTCCGAATTTATATTAGGTCTCAAATATTTATATTCTAAAATAATTTAATATTGGCCACCAAAGATTTACATGACTTTTTTTTTTCCACCTTTTTTTACTATCATTCACGTTTTACAATAAATCTTAACCAATATAGAAATTTAATATAAAGCCCAAAAATCTCTCTCTCTCTCTCTCTCTCTCTCTCTCTCATTCACGTTTTTTACACCAACAATAAAATATTAAATATCTATTTAACTTTGTTGTTTGAACTCTCATTGCAAGTTTACAGTTATTATGAATGCATTTTTATTCTATTAAAAAATTTGTAGAAGTATTGGATTTGGGTTTTTGAAATCAGGTTCAATGGTTCTTTTTCTTTAATTATTTTTTAATTCTATTAAGTTTTGTTATTATAAATTTGTGTGTATATATATTTGTACATTTTGTTTTCGAGTTGTGGCTAATTTTATTTATATTGTTAAAAAAATCACTTTTTATTTTTCGCCTAAGGCCCCAAATTAGATTGAGCCGCCCCTGCGTGTCGTGTTCATGTCAAAAATGACCCATTTAGCAAAACGTGTAGAATAAATGTGTCGTGTTTGGTGACAAAAATGACTTAAACTTATCTTTTCATATCGTGTCAGATCTTGTCCCATTCATTAAACAATTTACGCGTATCGACATGTGTAATAATCGTATTGTGTTCGTGTCAAGGGTCTTAAACATGATTAATAATTGTATCGTAATTATATTCGTGTCATAATTATATCGACATAAATACAACATGTCAACACAAATTGCCAACCCTATAATAAAGTAAAAGAAAAATTCAAACGTCACTCAGGTAGCTAGATAAGCAGGAATGAAAAGAAGCCAGAGGATACTATAAGTTTCGTCAAAAGTTCAGTAAACCTACATTCACCTATAATATTGATTTTTTAACTTAAAAAGTTTCTTAGAAAAGAAAATTTATACCATGTAAGCTAATGCCCGTCACACAGAAAATAGTATTAATTCTAAGAGAAAATGACTGGATTGTGTGGTGAGTAACGTTCCTGAATGAGTTTTTGAATTTGCCGTTTCTGGATCTCTCCAACTTGGGCTTTGAATTGCTGTTGTTGGAACTCTCCAACTTGGGCCTGGGCCAATGCCTGTGTTGTAATTGTTGGGATACACACAGTCCTAGCACAGCCCCCAATTATGGGCTTACACATCTATTATCTATATACTTAAATTTACCTTTTTTTTTCAAAAAAAGGGCAAAAAAGAAAAAGAAAAAAAGAAAAGAATTGAAAAAATATTGGTAGTAGCATGTCTTGGTTATTGGTATATTGCTAGTGGCATGTCTGGGATTTTGGTTGAAGCTTCATCCTATTGCTGCCTTTGTCCTCATGGCTTTGGCCATTTGTTCGGAGTGATATCCCTCTTTCTCTTGTATATTTAGGGACGGTAAATGGGGCGGGTTTAGGATGGGTTATAAACGGGCTGATCAATGATGGAGCATGATCAATTAATAGCCTTTTTGTAACCGGTTATAAACGGATTGAGCATTACAATCCAAATATTTTTTGAATTGATTATGAACATTCGGGTCAATTAGTATCCAACCCAATGACCAAAATTCAATTCCACCAAAGTCCAGATCCAGATCCTGATCCAGTAGACAATATTATGACCCTGTTTTATAACCTCAAAACTTGCTCTTTTGCCAACATTTGAAAAACAATTTAAGAGAAATCATTTTGTTATTCTCAAAACAAAGCAACATGTCACGCCCTGTCAAAAGCGGTTGCGCCATGTACATGACAAACGAGCACTATGGAGGACTATGCATGATGCTTGATTGATGAGTGTAGAAAATTAAGTTCTAGAGTCTTTAGATTAATTGCGTGGAATGTTGAAAGATTCTAAAATGTTTCAATAGTGTGTGTAGGGTGAGAAAGTTTTTGTAGAAGTAGAAAGTTATTAGGATTGTAAATATTTAGAATAGAATTCTAAGAGGTGAAAATCATTAATTGTATTGAATCCTAGCCATCCATTAGGGTGGAGGTGCCTATAAATGGGATTGGAGCCTTATTTGTTGCCAAGAATTCCTAGAGTATGAATATAAAGATTTAAAGAGAATTGTGAGTGCTAGTCTAAATATAGAACCAAACCCTCCAACAAGTGAAGAATTAAAATAGGGATGATAATTTGCTCTGTCTCTGCTAATTTTCGTCAATATTTAAATGAATAGTCAAAAGTGAAAAAATAAAAATATTAGTACATGAATTCAAGTATGTTAAATTTGGGTATGTATCATGATGACATTGAATTCATCCAATCTAAACACGGATACAATATTCCTATTTTTTTGTTCTTTTTACTCCCTGTCCTATAAAAAGTGTTCACCCTTTCATTTTTATTTTTTTTATTTTTTATTTTTTATGTCTCAACTTAAATTTAATTACTAATTTTTTAATATTCATAATTTACCTTTATTACCTTTAAGTTATAATGTATGCGGGAAAATTCATTCTCTACCACTATAATAAAAAATTAAT